AGAGCGGAGCCCCCGCTGGGCTCACCGCCCTCCTCCCAGGGCTCTGGCCGCCTCCCCCCCCCGCGGGCGGGGGGGAGCGGCCGGCGGCTTTTTTGCCTGGGGCGGCAAAAAAGCCAGAACCGGCTCTGCTCAGGGCACAGATCAGGAGTTTAGCTCTGGTCTTCCGTAGCCACCTTTCTCCACCAGAGGTTTCTGAATGCTACCCTCTACCCTGTGGATGGCTAAGTTTCAGAGGCGATGTGATCCATGGAGATATTTGTCTGTACTCAGACCCACTTCCATTGAAGTCAGGGGGCTGAGCACAGACTGCAGGATCACGTCCATAACTTCATCGATTTTAGGGCCAGCAGGGATCACTCTGATCACCCTAATCTGACCTCCTGTGCAAAACAGGCCATAGAATTTCACTCTGCAGTGGAAGAAACTATTCTTCTATAATCTATCCTTTGCAAAATCCTCTCCTTTAGGATCTTTGAGGATGGGAGATGCAATATGAATGGTCTCATGTTAGGGCCCTACCAAATTCACAGTCCATTTTGGTCAATTTCACGATCATAGGATTTTAAAAATAATAAATGTCATGATTTCAGCTATTTAAATCTGAAATTTTGCAGTGTTGTAATTGTAGGGGTCCTGACCCCAAAAAAAGTTGTGTGGGGGTCGCAAGATTATTGTAGGGTGGATTGCAGTACTGCTACCCTTACTTCTGCGCTGCTGCTTGGGGTGGTGCTGCCGTCAGAGCTGGACAGCTGGAGAGTGGCGGCTGCTGGCCGGGAGCCCAGCTCTGAAGGCAGAGCTGCCACCAGCAGCACAGAAGTAAGGATGGCCTGGTATGGTATTGCCACCCTCACTTCTGCACTGCTGCCTTCAGAGCTGGGCCCTCAGTCAGCAGCTGCCACTCTCTGGCTGCCCAGCTCTGAAGGCAGCAGCGCAGAAGTAAGGGTGCATGGTGTGGTGTTGCCACCCTTACTTCTGCACTGCTGCTGGCGGGGTTCTGCCTTCAGAGCTGGGCTTCTGGCCAACAGCCACCGCTTTCTGGCCACCAGCTGCCACTCTCCAGCCACCCAGCTCTGAAGGCGGTGCAGGAGCAAGGGTGGCAATACCACGATCGCCCTAAAATAAATCTTGTGACCCCCCTGCAACTCCCTTTTGGGTCAGGACCCCCAATTTGAGAAACTCTGGTCTCCCCCGTGAAATCTGTATAGAATAGGGTAAAAAGCACAGAAAAGATCAGATATCACAGGGAGATGAGATTTCACGGTCCATGATGTGTTTTTCATGGCTGTGAATTTGGTAGGGCCCTATTCATTGTACTCCCCCATCTGTCTCTTGTCTTATACTTAGATTGTAAGTATAAGATAATACTCTCTTTTTGTTCTGGGTTTGCACAGCGCCTAGCACATGGGGTCCTGGTCCATGACTAGGGATCCTGGTGCCATGATAATACAAATAATAATTATTTATTAGTATTACATTCCCAATAGGACAAGTGTCGGAGAGTCATCTGTAGTGAATATCCATCTGTCTTCTCTTCTCATTTAGGTCACTGGAACAACTTCAGAGCCCAAACCTCAGGGCTTAAGATGACAGAGAGTCCAGAGAAAGAAACAAAGAACTTGTAAAAAAAAACCCAAAACAAATATATAGAGAAATGAAAAAGTTGCATTATTAAATAAACTCGCACAGCAATAAAAGGAAAAAAAAGACGGATGTAAACTAAAAACTCAAGCAATCAAACCAGCGATGACAATAGATCTGAGTCTGAAACACGGCGACAACCACGGACGTGACGCTCTTTGGAATGTTCCCAGAGATGGGTTGGGGGAGCCAACCCCTCGTCTCCTGCTTGTCCACGATTTCAGGGGGTGCAAGAAAAGGAGGAGAAGACAGGAGGGATGCGTTGTGAAGAGAGAAACTATGGGCTCTGGTTCCCAGCTGTTTTGTATCGCTAATCAGTATCATGGGCTATCAGTGAACCAGTACAGGAGTCTTGTTGCTTCTACTGTTATCATCTTAAAGGAGACCTGCAAAGAGAGAAAATCGTCATTGTTTCCTTTGTATGCATCGTTGTGATGTACAAAGCATTTAAAATACAAACTATATTACTTTAGAAATATCAGCGCTTGAATCTATTTTAGCCGGAAGACTCCTTGGAGGACTGGAGAACTAGTGATGTTATAATCTGATCATGGCAAATCTCCCAGGGATGTAGCCTCTTTGCAGACTGACCTAGGCCCTAATTCAGCCAGGAGTTCAAGTACAAACGTTAATCCTGTGAGTAGTCCCACTTCCTTCAGTGGAACTATTCATGTTCTTAAAGTTAGGTGACATGCTTCGGGTTCCTGGCTGAATCAGGGCTCTACATAGGGATGACAGAGCGGGAAGAGGATTTTTAGTTGAACTGTTTACAGAGCTTTATATCTCCTTTGATTTACTTACCGCCTATTTAACTCAAACTCCTGACAAAGAGGAAGGAGGAAAAACCCTCCTTGTGAAGGATTTGAACATCCTTCACCCTCTGTCTTCAACTGATAGACAAAGAAGCTCCCACTCCAGTTCTCTCGTCCTCGGAGACCTCCAGCGACAAAATAGAGACGACAAGATTTGATATTCTTGATATTTCTAAGGTGGAAAAGGAGCACCTTGTTTTTTGGAAAACACTAAGGGTGAAAATGGCTAGGCCTCTTTTATGCACCATAAAGAAAAAAATGCAGAACCAAGAGATTATTTTTTCTCTTTGCAGGTCACATACATTTACTTTTCGAGGCCATGTGGTGATGTACAGCTCCAGGCTCTAAAGATTATAAACCATTCATTACACTGCCCATGATAGCGAAGGGCCCAATTCATCCCTACTGTAACTGCACCACCGTCAACAGTGTTACAGCAGGGTTGAATTTGGCCCCAGGTGTGAATTTCCAACCCCCTATATTTTTTCTGTGCTCATGTTTTTTTACTCTCCCCATTGAGTATTGCAACGGGCCTAGTGCTTTCGTTTGGTTTTATGAACTGTAGGAAATTCCCTGCATAGCTGCCCTCCCAGATAGGCATTACCTTGGCAAAGCACTGGCTAACACAAGGATGGGCACCTGATCCTTCACACAGCTTTTGCTCCAGTAATCATACCAGAATGTTCCCCCACCGCTGGCTAACCAGACACCATTGTCACTTGTTTATTGTCCTTTATGCACCTTTCTCACCCCCCTACTCCTCTCCGAGCACACAGGTGATACAGTGCAAACCATACTCTGCTCTCCATTACACTTGTGTAAATCCAGAACAAACCTACTGAAATCAATGGCGCTACTGCAGATTTACACCGGTGTGGCTTAGAGGAGAAGCAGGGCCATCATCTGTGCAGTGCCTAGACCAGGGGTCTCAAACTCAAATCACCACGAGGGCCACATGAGGACTAGTACATTGGCCCGAGGGCCGCACCACTGACACCTTTTCATATAAAGGTACAAAAGCCCCACCCTGCCCCCAGCCCGGCCCCCACTCCACCCCTTCCACGAGGCCCTGCCCCTGCCCCGCCTCTTCCCATCCCTTCCCCGCTCCCATTCCAACCCCTTCAACAAAGTCCCCACCCCAACTTTGCCCCCTCGCTGACCCTATTCCAACCCCTTCCCCAAATCCCCACCCCTGGCCCGCCTCTTCTCCGCCTCCCCCCCTGAGCGCTTGACTCCCGCACCTCCCCCCTCCCTCCTGGAAAGCGCTAAGTGCTGCCAAACAGCTGTTTGGCAGTGGGAAGCGCCTGGAGGTAGGCAGAGGAGCGGGGACGAGGCATGCTGGGGGGGGGCGGCAGGTGAGGGGAGCTTGGCGGGCCGCAGCAAATAACTCTGCAGGCCGCATGCGGCCCGCGGGCTGCGTGTTTGAGACCTCTGGCCTAAATGGCTCCTAGTGTAGTGGGTGAAGGGGCTTAACAAAATGAACGTCACTGAAATTCCTCTGGGGTTAAGTCCAGACCATGAGAGGGCAGCAGAAACAGTTCCTTGTATCCATCAGCTGGGAGTTACACAGGATAGACTGGGACTTAATCGATTAGCACAGCCTTCCACAAGGTAGCCAGACTTTGATATGAATAATGCCAGTATAAAGCCAGAGCAATGACATTGGCAGTGTAACAGAGATCTGAGTCTGGCCTATTGACTGTAGCTTGTACATTACCAAAGCCAGCTTAGACACTTGCATGGAGGCGGTGTCAGGCAAAAATGTTCAAACTTGAGTGCCTAAAGTCGAGCACCCAACTCCATGGTTAGGTAAATAGATGACCTGGTTTTCAGGAGTGCACGGCTCCTCTGCTTGCTACTGCATCCATGTGAGGGCCAACGGAGTTAGTCATAACTCCTAGGTTACTGAGGTGGTCTTCAATCACCAAATCCATCTCAATGCAGTTCTAAGCCCAACTTCAAATTCTGGGGAACCAAAGACAGTTAAAGGCACCAAAACGAGCGTTAAATGCCTCAGCACCTACCAGCAAAACCCTGAAAACTTCAGCGTTTGCCAACGATAGTGCTTACTGCGACTATACCGCATGTGCTAAATCCTGAGGCATGTCTGATACCGCTGGGTGGTCACTGGTGGCTTCTTACTGGGAGCCACAATACCCACCTGAATGGGTGACAGCAGTTTAGACACCTTCACAGGTTCTTGCTGTTTGCACATGTTTGCAAACGAGACAAACAGCACCACCCTGAACCAGCCCCACATTTCACCCCCTCAGAGAAAGAGTCTCTGGGAGTCCCAGTCCCTGCTTCCCCCTGGCTCCAGGGGAGGAGTAAACTAGACCAGCCTTTCTCCTAGTGCAGGTTACTCCCCCTCCGGGCTGTGCCGGCCATTGCCGTGGGCAGGGGGAGCTAAGGCTCTGCCTACTCGTGCGAGATGGGGAATTGGGGACCATCAGTAGCTGCCCTCCCCTCTTGCAGGGTCTGGAGACGCAGCTAGTCCCCACACAGGGGAGTGAGGGGGTGCCTTACACCCCTTTCCTCCTCTGCCTGGGCTCGCAGCCAGGCTCACACCTGAGCCCTGTCAGTTTGCAGGTGGATGGAGATTGTGCTTTGCCTGACCCACAGTAGCTGAGCGTGAAGCGCTTTTTCCTTGTGCCCAGCCTCAGGTGCTGCCTCTGCTCTGAGGTAACCGCAGCTCCATACTGACGACCTCGGACACAAGGCGCGTAGTCCTCTCCGTTGCTCAGAGTCAGTCGGAGCTGAGGGTGCTCAGTGCTTCCGCGGAAGAAAATGCTGCAGCCGTGAGCTTTTCAATGAGGCTTCCTCGCTTCCCACCCCCATCTCCCATCCCAGTCAAAATGGCCTGGAGGTCCCTGCTGCTCTATCTTATTTCTTAGGAACTGCCAGGAAACTTTAAGCAAGACTACGTGGGGCCAGGGAAATCCTTCCGACCAGGGGCACCCACGTTATGTGCAGGGGGCTGATGCAGCCCATGGTGTCATATAACGTGGCACCCAGCCATGCTCTCCCTGTGGCGGCTGGGTGAGGACTAAGCCGATCAACAGCAGGTTTGCACTGCTGACGACTCCAAGCAACAAGCCATTTCTGGCCCTTGATCCAGGCTGATCGGGGCAAACGCTATGGTTGTACTTATTTTCTATTGAAACTTGATGTTAATTTATAGGCAAATTAGGGGGCTGATCCTGCTCCCACCGAAATCAATGGCAAAGCTCCCAGTGGCAGCGGGACTGAGCCCTAGGCGTGGCATGAGGGAGCCTGGTGAAATGCCCCAGCCCTTGATGCCACACAGATTGGACATCCTCTCTCAGCTTACTGACACGTCAATGGAAAACATTTCCTTGCTAACATAGCCTGCAAAGATGGAACCTCTGGAGTTCTCAGAGCTCTGGGGCTGAGAGCTAAACCATGCACTAAGGTAGCTCTTAAACACATTATTATGCCGGCATATATATATATATATATACCTCTCTCTATATACATATCTTACATAATATCTACTGACTATATTCACAGGAGGGAGCATCTCCCAAAGGGAAAGCAGAGCCATTTCTTCTCTGTCCATACGAGGATGGTGCGTGGTAGCATTGATGTGTACACTGCCCGGCAATAGCTTTGGGGGATTTTCAGATGGTTTGGTATAGGTATTTATCCCTGGGTTTGGTTTTGTTAAATCTATTTATTTGGAGATCCATATCTGTCTGAAGAAGCTGATTAAAGTATTTCTGAATCCACATGCCTGGCACCTTCTTTTATTTTCTAGGGTTGCTATGGTATTTTTCATACCTATGCATCATAGACCCCACACTGCCTATATTGAGCTAAGGCTCCCGTTACCATGGTACCTGAGCACCTTTATGACACCATTGCTGTACAGATGGGGAACTGAGGCAGGCAGAGTCTAAGGCCCAGATCCTCAAAGGTATTTAGGTGCCTAACTATCATTGAAATCAGTGGGAGTTCGGAGCCTAAATGACTTGTCCAGGGTCACACAGGATGTCTATGGCAGAGACGACCACTGAACCCAGGTCATCTGCATTCCAGGCTCGCGCCCTGCTCACCGAGCCATCCTTCCTCTTTATAAAATGTAGATAACGGAGACTCGCCTTTGCTGCATGTGGTGGGGGCTGGGGCTTGAGGGGGGGTGTGTCAAATTCTTTCCCTGCTTCTGCCAGCGAGTTCAGTGGCCCACATGTAACAGTCACATCAGTGACGCTCTAGGGCAGCAGGGCTTTGCTGCTCTATAACTTTATAAAGTGTGTGGAAAACGAGCCCGGAGCACGGCACACCCATTGCTAGCAAGGGAAAACTGGCTCAGGATTACAATGAATTATTATTTGTATTAGAGGCGCTGCAAGAGGCCCCAACCCAGATTCAGGACCCCATTGTGCTAGGCGCTGTACATACACAGGAGACAGGCCGTGCCCCCAGAAGCTTGCACTCTACAAAGACATGACAGACCAAGGCTGGGAGGGGGAAAAGGGGCACAGAGAGGAAGTGACTTGGCCAAGATTACACAGGATGTTATTGGTTAAACCAAGACTAAGACCAGGACCGTCCCTAGCTATTCTGGGGTCCTACGCATTCCCCCCGTGGGGGTGGTGTGTGTGGGGCCCCAGGCTTCCGCGGGGGTGGGGAGCTGGCCCCAGGCCTCCATAGGGGTGGAGGGGCTGGCTTGGGGAGACAGGGGGGGAACCACCCCACAGCACTCACCAGCGGCGTGGCTGGGGCCGGGTCCCTGCACTTCCCACCGCTGGTGAGTGCAGGGGCCCGGCCCTGCTGCAGTCCTCAGGGAAGTGGGAAGAGGCGGGATGAGGGCGAAGCAGGGGCAGGGGCTTTGGGGAAGGGGTGGAATGGGGGCGGGGCTGGGGTGGAGCAGGGACGGGAAGAGGTGGGGTGGGGGTGGAGCAGGGGTGGGGGCTTTGGGGAAGGGGTGGAGTGGGGTTGGAGCAGAGGTGGGGGCCCTGGGGAAGAGGCGGAGCAGGGGCTGGAGCAGCACGCAGCTGTGTAGGGCACCAGGAAATGTGATGCCCCAAGTTTCCTGGTGCCCTATGCAGCTGCGTACTTTGCGTATGGGTAAGGACGGCCTTGACTAGGACCCCAGTCTTCGGCGTGCTAGGCTAGGAGCACGCAGGGCTGGACGTACATTCTGACGTGAGGAATGGCGGGAGCAAGCTGCAGTGCAAATGGTACATGAACCATTCCTCAGTGACGCCTCCCAGCGCGCTGCAAGGGCAGGAAGATTGGCTAAGCCCATTCTACAGATGAAAGAAGTGAGACATAGCCAGACTCATGGTCTGAACCTGCCACCACTTCTTAACCTCCCAGCAGCAGCAAGAGTGATGTCGTGTGTCTCCTGTCAGTTCTATGCACCAAGCAGGTCCTCTTCACTCCAGGGCCAGTCAGCATTTCTTCCCCCCTCCCCCCGGGGCTCTTTCTGTGTCCATCCGTGTTGGGGCCTTCTACAGCGCCCATCGCCTTCGTATCCAGTTTGTTGGGGTTAATTACCTAGATACTAATGGAAATGAACTAGTAATAATACCAAAGAAAAGACAGCGTATGCTTTGAAGAGAAAATTGCTCCAGACTCTGTTGCATTAATCTTTGCTCTCTGGTGCCACCAGATCTCAAACTCAGGCTTGTGGGAGTTGTCAGGTCAGAGCCATACCATCTGCACTGCCACCTTATAGGCTCAGATGAAGAAACTGCAGCAGGTACCCCACACCCAGGAGCTACAGCCCTTGACTCCGTGGGATCTGCTGGCTAGCAGCAGACTGATGAGTGGTCACCTCTTAGTATAAAGCTTCCTGTACTTAATATATGGAGATATACCTATCTCCTAGAGCTGGAAGGGACCCTGAAAAGTCATCAAGTCCAGCACCCTGCCTTCACTAGCAGGACCAAGTACTGATTTTGCCCCAGACCCCTAAGTGGCCCCCTCAAGGATTGAGCTCACAACTCTGGAT